AATTTCCTTTAATCATTTAATACATTCTGATAAAGCCCACTTGCCTTTCCCTCCCTTCCAATTCTTCTCCATCCCTCCATCTGACATGACAACAGTTAGACTGCCATGGGCAGAGAATAATATTTTGATGCAGATGTCCACTCCCTCTGGCTCTGACAGTATCTCCACCCCTTATTACAGCACTGTCCTTGAGAAAGAGTGGTTAAAAAGGAGATACCCTGCACTACTGAATAATGCATCTCTCATGAGACATGGATTATCAAATGAAAATCTGTGTCAGACATGGGACACTTTCCTATTGGTCATGAAACCTTCAGGAGTATAAGAAAAAATGCAAGTTATTTATATTGCTGTTGGTTCCCCACCTTAATTAAATGACTGTACCTTGTTGCTGAAGACACCAATAACTTTGAATGGAAGACACAATGAAATAGATCTTGATGCCTTTAGAATAGCTCCCCCATTTACAGTGGAGCATCCCATAGTCTCTTATTCTCTGTGAGATTGCAAGTTATGAGTCTTTGTAATAATCACAATTAGTTTTGATAATAAATTACCCTAATGGGGGTGAAAAGACTCTCTAGCAGCTGGGCATTGATGGCACATGCCTTTAATCCAGCACTCAGGAGGCAGAGGCAGGTGGATCTCTGTGAGTTTGAGTCCAGCCTGGTCTACAAAGAGAGTTCCAGGACAGGCTCCAAAGTAATACAGAGAAACCCTGTCTAGGAAAAAAGGAAAAAGAAAGAAATAATGGAAGGAAGGAAGAAGAAAGAAAGAAAAAGAAATGAAGGAAGGAAGGAAGAAAGGAAGAAAGACTCACTAATATACTCACCCCCATTAATATAGGGGACAATGTGTTTCTTTGTATATTTAGTAGATTAATAGTATTAAATTCTCCTCTTTAGCCATAGATTTTAGGTTCAGTTAATTTTTACCAAGTATGAGTTTCTATCTTATACTATGGGCATTAAATCTAATCATAAAGTAGAATACTCTCATAACATTTGACCCTCGTTGTACAATATCTACCAAGACTAGTCATTATTGTAATTATGAGGTTTATAGCTCAATAAAACTGTTAATTACTTTTCTTCCCTGGATTGTTCTTAGAAGCATACTGCACTATGAACTCTGGTCAGTGGGGATGAAGCTTATAGGTCAGCACCTGTTTTATTTCTCCATTTTTATGAATTAAGCATGTACTCCAGCAATACAAACTTATTGTCAGGTTCTGGATGAAAATCAAGTGCAACAGTTCTCTATCAAATATGAATTCACCATGAACATATATGTAAAGGAATTTTATTCAGCGTGCCAAAGGTAATTATGAATAAATTAATAGGGTTGGAAATAATCATTCTGAATGGAGTATCACAGAACCATACAAACAACAGCTTATATTATCTGCCATATATGAATGTTATATTTCAGCCTTCAGATGTTTATGCATTTAAGTTAGAATACATGGAAATGTCAGAAATGGATCCATGGGGTTGGCTTTAAGATTTGGGGGTTAGAATGCTGGTGATATGAAAGAATGTTGGCAGCCATGTAGCCTAGTTAGATGAGCTTATGAGCACTTGTCCAATAAGTCTCCATGAGGCAGGATCCGTGGAGATAGTCTTTCACTCTGCATGAGCAAGTGGACTTTAGGACAGTTCAGAATACTGCTGAGAGGGTGCAGCCTGCACACTCTCTTCTCATAATGTTCATGATTATCTTGATAGTTTTTAGTGTCGCTTTGTTAGATGTGATTATTATGGGAAAACCCTTTTTTTTTTCCTCAAAGATTTTCCAGAAAATTCCTTGGGAATTGGGACTTGTTAGGTTTGTTATAGAGAGGCTTAGACATGCAGGACCTAGGCATTTTATAGCAAATAATTTCTGTTTCTGTAAATATGCTGCATTATGTTTTGAACAATAGTGTTCTATCTGTCATTATAGAGAGCTCATCTAGTACCTGATAGAAACAGAAGCCGACACCCATACCTAACCACTGAGTCAAACTCCTGGAATCCAGTTGCAGAGAAGGAGGAGTTATAAGAAAACAGGGTAAGACCAGGCTATAGAAACAGCTGGCCTGAACAAGGGGAAGCTCATCCACCCCCCAGATTGATAGCTAGAAATCCAGCATTAGACCGGCTCAGACCCCCTGAACATGGGTCTTGGTTAGAAGGCCTGGGCAGTCTAAGGGACCTCTGACAGTGGAACCAGGATGTATCCCTAGTGTAAAAGTTGGAAAAAATATTTGTTTTTGCCAGAGGTTAATGCTCTTAACTCATGCTTGTTTTTGAAGTGTAAATAAAGATGACTCAAGTTATTTGGAGCCAGACACTTGTGTGAAACTTATATGATGGTTGAACAATTCTTCTTCTGCCAATGCCTTTCCCCTGTCTCAGCATATGAACCTGGGCTGCAGCAAGATCTTGGGAAAGTAGGAAATGGAAATGATGGAAATGAAAGTACTGAGTCAGGCTGGAATAAGAGAGAAGAGTGGAAGAGTAAGTATGGGTCGGGAGTGACTAATCAGGACTTATGGCCTGAGGATGTGGAAACTTACTATTGCAGAAACTGCCCAGAGCAAAAACATCTACATACATAGAAGTTTAAAGTAGACATCCTTTAATTGGGAATAATGCCTCTCTGAGACACCATAGACACTCAATACAACCCCAATACTAGACATGCTGATCAGTGGGGTCTCTTATAGATTCCCTAAGCAATTTCTATTGTCATTGTTCAGAATTCTATTTTTAATTAACTTAAAAACTAGTGACATTTCATAAGGCTTCTTTATACATACCTACTCTTAGTTAAAACATCTCTATAACTCTTTACTTTCATACTCAATTTCTATCCCCTTTTAAACCCTAATCTCCCAGTATTCTATATATATGTATATATGTATTCTATATGTATATATATATGATCTTAGAAAGCAAGATCATTGGTTCCTAAATGTTATAGGGTCTGGGTAAAGCCAACACATCTCACATGTCAAATCAATGTAGAAAACAATAATTACTTGTGATCAAGCCACTACTGATCAGGGCAGCAGAACAGACTCAGGAGCTGAACTGCTACCCCAAGACAGAATGTTATAGAGCTTTTAAGCCTGAAAAATCACAAATGTCCGTGCCAATTTAGAGTTACATTTTTCACCAGTCAGAATTCAAATATTAGGGACTTTTCTAGGGACCTTTTCCTGTGGTGTACTTATCTTGTTCTCATTGGTCAGTTTTCCCAGCTGTGGTAGGGTGACTTGCCCAGCATTCATGTGTTCAACTTGCCAACCAGGATATCAGTTACTCATGGAGGTCTGGGGAATCTTTGGAACTTGAACACTATTTGATCCTTCAAAATGGAAATTCTATCCAAAATGGCTTTTAGTTTGGTTTGTCTTTAAACTAAACAGATGCTCCATGCAGCTCATTTTGGTCAAATCTTACCTCATTCATAGTTTGCCTATCTTCATCAACCTGCTACATGCTTAATCCCCTTTATCTTAATATTCCCTCTCTATATATTAATTTCACTTATATTCTTCTGTGCATGCTCCCTGTATATCTCACCTCTGCAACTATACTCTTTCTAATTTCTTATCTCCCAATTTGCATTCTGCCATACTAATAGATCAGTGTCTTATGCAGCCTTCACTAGTGGAGCTTCCTTCTGCCATAGATAGGAATAAACACAGAGACCCACAACTAGACAAAATTCAGACAATAAGGTGATTTTGTTGTTGTTGTTGTTTGTGCTACCGAGGTTTTACTCCAGTAATTAACACATATTAAACAAGCACTCATACATGACATATATCCACAGATTTTTTTCTCATTAGGTTTTGATAAATTGTCAATGCTGGTCTTGATCAACTCCAATCAAGCTCCAATCAAGCATAGATACAAAGATGATTATTCTATTCATCAATATTTTATCCTGACTATGGTAAAATAAGTTGCTGGCTTCCTTTCTAAATGCAGGAACTAATGGAGGCCTCGTTATCTAAATATTGCCCATGTGAGGACAAGGAGAAGAAGAAAGAGCACAATCAGAATTAGCATTATATCTGTCCTTCCTGGACCAGTTCTGGGAATACTCACTGAAATGAAGGTTAGAAAATGTCTCTTCTGTAGGAGAGGTGAACACAGTCATCTTTGCAATCAGCTCATCCTGATGCCACAGACATCTGGGCCATAGGTATCGAATGGCTCTCTATCAGGCCAAATCTTGGCAAACATGGTGCAGACAAGTTTTGCCCTTTTCCTTCTTTAGCTCTGCCTTGCTAAAAATCATTGTATTGTGTTCCTATACCTACTCCCTGAGGTCCATTTCCTTATTGGGCCACTGACTTATTCCAGAGACAAAACACCAGGGTCCAACAATCTTCATCATTATAAACACTAGTAATGTACAGTCATTTTGTGTGTGAAAGATAATGTGAGATTAATAAAGCAAGAAAATAGTTGCAATGCTCTACAGGAGAAAGTTAAGATTCAGATGGCAAGATGATTTTTAGAATGTCTCAGTAAATCTTTCCAAGGAAAGGCTCTTTCATATTTACTCACTGTCTGTTTTCTTGGCTCACTGTTTGAAGATGTTTTATATTGTTAGAGGTTTAAAAATAAAAGTAAAAAAATAAATTAATTAATTATAAAAAGTAAATTTGTAATGACTGGGGTAAAAATATGTTGTTTCAAAGACTATTTTTAAACAAGACAGAGCATGGAAAATGGTATAAATCACCAAAAAGAGGAATAGGCAAACTTTGGAAATAGTAAGAGCAATTCTAAAAGACTCAGACTTCCTTTTATGAAGAAGAAAGAAAACATATAATGTTTCAGAATTATACCAAGAGTTTCTGCCTGGTGAAACTGTACAAAACATAAAATAAAAAGCAGAGTATTTTGGAGGAAAAAAAGACAGAAATCTTCCAACAAAATATTGCCCATCAATTGAAACTCTGCAAAAATAAGAGTTATAAAGACAACCCCATCCAGTCAGAAGTTCCTACTGCTCAGGGTTTTCCTAAGGGCAACTTTGATATCTTTGTTCCGCAAGCTGTAGATCAAAGGATTCAACATAGGAACCACATTGGTGTAAAAGACAGAAAAGATTTTCCCTTCAGTCATGGACCCAGCTAAAGAGGATTTGAAATACACAAGTGCACTTGAACCAAAGAACAGAGAAACAGCAATGATGTGGGAGCTACAGGTACTGAAGGCTTTGGACCTGCCCTCAGAGGAACTGATGTGGAAGATGCTGGAAAGGATGAAACCATAGGAGATAAAGATAGTTGATGTAGGGACAACGATGTTGATGCTCCCAACAATAAAAATTACAAGCTTGTTGACATAGGTGCTTGTACATGAGAGTTGGAGCAAAGAAGGAATATCACAGAAGTAGTGGTTGATGGTGTTGGCATCACAAAAGGTCAGTCTTAGCATGCATACAGTGTGAGCTACGGCATCAGAAAATGCAATAAAGTAGGATCCAAGCATAAGGTTCAAACATAGTTTAGGAGACATGGCAATATTATACAACAATGGATTGCAAATGGCCATATAGCGATCATAGGCCATTGAAGTCAACACATAACACTCAGATATAACAAAAAAACAAAAGAAATAGACTTGAGTCATACATTCAATGTAAGAAATTACATTCTTCCTTAATACAAAGTTCATCAGCATTTGGGGAGTGAACACAGAACAATAACATAGGTCTATAATGGACATGTTAAAGAGAAAAAAGTACATAGGCGTGTGAAGGTGAGAATTCATCACAGTCAGAATTATCAGACACAAATTTCCCAGTGCAGTGATCAGATACATTACTAGAAATACAAAGAACAAGGGCATTTGGAGATCAGGCTGATCTGTTAATCCTACAAGGATGAATTCAGTCACCAAAGAGATATTTACTGAGTCCATTTTTCTCTAAGGGAACCTGTGGACACAGAAAATAGAGCTGCATGAGAAGAAGACCCAACAAGTTCTGGGTACTTCCTATCTATGATGTGTATGCTGGAAATGCCACAATTAGACATGCAGAATCAACTAGTACCTTCACAAATAAATTCTCTTAAGTCTGAAAGAAATGAATATTGAATTCCATTATAATTTCTGAAAATATTACAAGATAAAGAAGAATATGCTACAAAGGGTTCCATACTCTCCTATCTACTGTCTTCCTTTACTAGAGCCCTCTCTACAACAAATTTGGAAGTAGATGCCTGGACAGTACAGTGCTGGCTGCTGCTACAGATTCACCTTTGTTGTGGTATGAATGAAAATCATGTGCCTAACCTAAAATTAAAGAAAAAGAAAGAGTCATTGCAACAAAGTGTTCAGCCCCCGTCACAGTCATAAATCTGGAAGACTTGAAACGTGACCATGAAGGAGAACCCTAACAAAGATGATGTAACTCCAGTGTTCACCAACACCCTCTCTGATCCCTCTGAAGGGTTTCTTCTGCTTGTTTCACTTGGGTCTCAATTTCAACAGCACAGGGGAAAAATACTAAAACCCACCATACAGTAAGAGACAGAAAGGTGACTCAATTGGATGGGAGGAGAGGCAAGAAGGACATCAGATGAGTTGAAGATGAGGAAACTGTAATCAGAATATATTATATGAAAACTATCTCCTATCAATAAAATAAAAATAAATGTTAAATTTTTAAAAGGTGTTACTATACCTGTACTTCAGAAACTCACAATTTGCAGTCCAAACATGAAAGCTTGCTTACTTAATCTTCCTGGACCAATTTCTGAATTGCAGAACATTATTTGTGATTAAGGCTTTAAGTCTTTTTTTGGAAGCAGAGTAAAGGCCCTTGAACTGCAGGATGTGTGGGCTTATAAGCAGGATAGAATGTCCAGACCCTTCCTCAAAGGAGAGCATTTAAATAAAAGAAGGAGCTGAGAATATTTTATTAAACCCTGGATCATGAACCTTATTTCCTGAGGGACCCACAATTATACTCATCCTTTCCATTCACTCTAGAGATTGTACAGCTCCCAGTGCAGATTGAGAGATAGACTCTTGCATCTCCAATTATGTTGAGTTTGGGTTCTTCCTCTCCTGCTTCCTGCAGTTAAGTGAGAATTACCCAAAGATCCTGCTCCTGATGAAATTCTGTGTATGAAAGTTGAAAGTTGTTGAGGATTATAGAGAGGAACCCCCAGTGCTAAACCACCAGAAACAACATGGATGCCATTTTTATAAATATATTTCTGAAAAACAATTACACCAGCAGCCATACTAGCATGGAAGGAAAAAAACAAACAAAAACTCATGGGAGCTGAAAACAAATGAAGAATGAAGGAGTGGAAAAAAAGATGGCTTTTTTCACAGAGAAACTAGTTATTCAATATTAATATTAAGTGACCAACTATGAACTTGTTTATAAAGAAGCATTATTAGATAGACTGAGAGGTTGCATTTAATTCTTTAGGAAAATATATTGATATATATAACAATGATGAAAGATATAGAGGTCCTTTATTTTGCAGAGATCATGGAGTTGTTCATGGGAAGAGTTGAAAGCATCAAAAGAAAATATTTACTTTCTAAAATCAAAAATACTAAAATATATGAATAAAAATTCTAGACTATTTTAAGAAAATAAAATATAACTGCATCAAGGACCCAGTCCTTTTCTGCTTCTCCAAGTACTCCCATGCTCACCTTTTAACTTCATCTCAAATTAATGGCCTATCTCCTTGCCTTTCTTTTCCTTATTAAATTAATTATATATAACTAATTCTATAATAAAACATAAATTATATAAAATATTGTTTATGTACAAATGTTAATTCATATATTAATAATCTATGTTGTATTAATATGTTAACTATATTATATATATTATAAAATATAAATTAAATAAATGTGAATTAACTCATTCTAAAACAAATATGATTTTAGCCCTCCTCTGTTGTAATATTTTATATAGATAATACAGTTATATATGTTCATGTGACAGGAATGTAGGAAAATAAAGAGATCTGATAAATACAGGATTACAGAATGAAAAATGGTCTAATGAGCAGGTATGGAGAAAATTTACTCAGTGAGTCACAGGTTTTATATTAAAATCTTAGTCACATATTTCATATAGTGCCATCTATAAAGATTAATAATTTTGATCTGAAGTTGTTATTTAACAGATTTGTATGTGACATTCATATATAAAAACTTTAAGAATTTTTTTATCCAATGTAAAATATGTTAACTATTCAAAAGTAAGCCTTTCAATATTTGAAAAAGTAAAGATTTATAAAATCTATATATTCTATTAGGAAGATGGTAGACAAACACTGAACACCAGGAAACAAATGCCAGCAGGATGTATTTCAAATTCATGTAACTCACACAATCTAGAAAAGTATTTAAATCAATTAATCAGGATACACAAGTGTTTGTATGTTCTAAGCTTGAAGGACATTCTCTTTTGTCTATGCATAAAAAATAAAACTGTTACATTTGAAAGTGGCCTTTCTCATGGGAAGTAAATTATACAGAATGATGAAACAGATCAAGAGACCTCTTGCTTATTATCGATCATTCTATGCTTCCCTAATAAAAATATTTATCATATTCTCATTTGTCTTTTGGATAGAGTGTGCACCCTGGATATTGGCTGGACAGTTTCATTTCAGTTCATCCAACTGAGACTGAATTAAATTTGAGTGGATACAACATACATTGGACTCCATTCATTCTAGAGTACCTATATGTGTCCCCCTTTGGCATACACATTTAGATGAAGCATTTTAAACAAAATAACTTGACAGTATGCAGTTTATTTGGATATTCTCAGACAAATGTGTTAGTACTTTGTAAGCATTATCTTTAAAAAAGTATCCCTTCTGGCCCTACTATAATTGAACCCCAGTGAATGTCACTGTTTGTAGATTATGCACCGCGGACCCCCAAAAGTGACTTGAAGCCCTGCATAAGACTCTTCTAGAGTTAAAACTTTATAGCTATTCCATGAAGAAACATTAATAATTTCAACTTAAATTGATTTGTTCCATTTGAAGTGAATGAGTTTCTTTTCAAAACTTAGGAATCTCAGTAGCTACTTGAATCTCCCTTACTTATTTTAGTGTGTAAAGGAAAAATATAATTATGTTGGCCAATCAAGGTCACATCATCATAAACTTTCAGAAACCAACTCAGCATTGGTGGCAAGTGTCTTTAGTCCCATTGCTTGGGAGGCAGAGGCAGATGGATCTCTGTGAGTTCAAAGCCAGCCAGGTCTACAATGTGAGTTCCAGGACTGTTACACAGATTAACCACAGTCTGCCCTATTAAAACTGAAACATGTTGTAAAATCTTTTTTGGTTCCATTGTCTTCTACATTAAATTAAAGGATGAGTGAGATATTTAAACATTGTTTTCTTTCTTTTCTTTGTTTCTTTTTCTTTTTATTCTTTTTTTTTTTTTTTTTTTTTTTTGCTTATGATAAATCTACTCAGATATTGTCAGTTTAAATTACAAATTATAAGGTTCATAGGTCTATTCTCTCTGAAGGATTTCAAAAGAATCCGTTTTCATTAGCACATTGACAACTCTGCATACACAGAATGCACAGCTGCCCAAAGTTACAATGGGACTTTACCATTTCCACAATTTCACATCCTATGAGACATGTGTACTATTGAAGAATAATGTTGGACTGCATCCATGGGAGCCCTTCCAGATGGACCAGCCCATCCAGAGTCTGCCTGAATCCTAGTCCCACCTCCACCCACACCCACGGGAGGGAGTAAGTGTGGGCCTGTTTCCTGCCTGCCTTCCAGGTCCCTACTTGTAGCTTCCTGAGGCCTGGGGCCTGGAAATGCATGTAAGAAGCTTTCCCAGCAGAGCAGCCTGTACAGACTCTGCCAGCATCCCAGTCCCACCTCCAAGCATAGTAGGAGGTAAGCTTAGGCCTGCTTCTGGAGTGCTTTCTAGGGCCTGCTTGGAGCTTCCTGAGGCCTGGGACTTGCCCACACATGGGGGAGCTCCTTCTGGTGGACTAGCCCATACAGAGCCTGCCAGAGTCCAGGTCCTTCCTCCACCCATGGGAGGAGCCCACCTTCCAGTGCCCTGGTGGAGTCTCTTGAGGTCTGGGGACTAAGTGAAGGAGCCTGTCCCAGGGGACCATAATATCTGGACTCTGCCTGCATCCTAATTCTACCTCCACCCAACAGAGGAGGTAAGTGTGGCCCTGTTTTCAGTCTTCCAGGGCCCTGCTTGGAGCCTCTTGAGGCTTGGGGACTGTGCAGGCAAAGAGGAACCCATCCCAGTGGTTCTGCTAATACAGAGTCTGCCAACATCCTGGTCCCACCTGTAGTCACTGAATTCCCACCACCACCCACTGGATGAAAATAGCCATCAGAGAAATGGACCTGCTTCCACTCACCAGAAGAGACCTTGGTCCTTTACCCACCAGGAAAGGGAGAGACCCCCAATAGCACACACTGGGGGAAGGGATGGGTAGACCACAGCATAAGAACACAGTCAACAACAGAAAGATCAATATGATGCCACCAGAGTATAGGGACTCCATACCAGCAAGACTTGAACATCTCAATTCAGATGAAGCAGAAGAGAATGATTCTAAAAACAACTGAGAACATCAAAGAAGTAATAAGAAAATCCCTTAAGGAAATGAAAGAAAAAACAAACAAAAAATTCAAGAAATGGAGGAAAAGACAAATCAAAAATTACAAGAAACAATTCAAAGAGTACAAGTCTCGAAAGTGAAATAGAAAAAAAGGAAAAAAAACAGTGTGGGAATGCTGGAAATAGAAATCCTAGGCAAACAATCAGGAACTACAGATGCCAGCATAACCAACCAAATACAAAAGATGTAAGAGAGAATCTCAGGCATTGAAGATAAACCAGAAAGAAAATCTTAAGTCTAAAAATTCCCTCAC